GGCTGCCAGAGGGATGTCTGACTGCCAGCTTGGGCCTGATCCCCTAGGGAGTGGGCCTAAGCCAGCAGGTGGACATCCTCCGAGGGTCCCAGACTGCAAGAGGGCATAGGCCGAGCTGAGGGACCCCCCGAGTGCACAAATTTTTGTGCACTGGGCCTCTAGTTATTAATGTAAAATAGTATGGGAACTTGTAAAGGTCTCACCACTCATAAGAAGCAAAATGGACACTTCAGCACTTTGCAGGTTCCACATCATCATACCAAATCCTGTTAAGTCGTGTTGGCAGGCCTGTTGGCTAGAGGGAAGATAATAAGGCATTCTCGAGGTTACGAGAGATGAGCAGTGCTGCAATCAATTAGTCAGGTCTGTCATAGGAATAGGTGGGGCAACATGGCACGCATGTCACATCTTTGTGAGTCCTGGTCTGAAGTCTCTGATTTCAGAGCCCTGGCTCTCTCCCCACTGCCGTTCTTCTCCACCCATGCCAAGGACCTGCTTGCTGGTGGATTTGTCAAAAAGCATTGATAGAGGTCATTGTAGAAAGAAAAACCCAAGGCCTTAAAAGGCAGACATTTACATGGGCAGCATTAATTCTTATTATAGGCAATCTCCATGCAAACCCATTGCTTCAGCCAATTGAGTTCAACTAAAGTTCAAGGTCTTTTCAAAAAATAATTATCTAGTTAATGCTGAACTGAATTAATCACTGAAGTTTAGGGAGGAAACATTGAATTGGTGGAGAGATACTTGAAGCACAACTTCAATAAATTGGGAAAGGTGACATTTTACAATTAACCTTATATCAATTATAACTAATAATGTTGTAACAATAATAGTAATTATATTGGCCGAAACCGGTTTGGCTCAGGGGATAGAGCATCGGCCTGCGGACTGAAAGGTCCCAGGTTCAATTCCGGTCAAGGGCATGTACCTTGGTTGCGGGCACATCCCCAGTAGGAGATGTGCAGGAGGCGGCTGATTGATGTTTCTCTCTCATCGATGTTTCTAACTCTCTATCTCTCTCCTTCCTCTCTGTAAAAAATCAATAAAATATATTTTTTAAAAAATAGTAATTATATTGTTCAGAGTGGTAACTACTCTGCAAGTAATAATATAGTCAACCATTTACTATGGATTATTTTTAAGTAATATATGATCCTATTAACAGTCTTTTGTTAATCACATATATAAGTACATATATATAAAATAGTATCCTATTAATTAGTTAATATATTAATGTCCTATTTATCTTATTAATAATCTAATAAGCAACACAGTACCTAAGTATTATTATTATTACTCTAAATTAACAAATAAGGAGCACAGAGTTAGAGAAGTTAAGCAAACTGCCCCAGGTCACACAACTAGTTAGTGAAGGGGCAGGATTTAAATATGCTTTGTCTGACCCTTGAGCCTTACTCTTTGGAGAGAGCTGTTTTCATTTTGATTTCAGGCAGTGAGTGATATTCCTTGATCTCATTTTGTGTAGCTTTTCTTCCTTTGTGAAAAGAAACACCTCCCAGGAGATCCCTGCCCCATCCTTGTTCTCTCTCTTACTTGGACCCCTTCGCTGTCATTTGTGCACTGGCTGGGTCAGACCAGGAGACTGTGATTATGGGGGAGTGTTGAGTGACAGGTGCAGCTATTGTGGGACTCCTGCTGCAGCACTAAGCATGCTCCTCTCATTGCATTGTGGGGAAGACAAGTTTGTGCAAAGCATCTCCAGTACTAGGACATGACCTTACCAGTAAGAAAAAAAAGATTCTTTAAGAACCTGCTTAAGTGTACCCAAGGAGCAACAATTTGAGGTGGAGCTGTTGTTTGAACTGTTACTTCAAGGAACTAAAAATGCTCACTTCAAACAAATTCCAGTCAGCTACCATGGAGTTGGTAGTGATGCCAGCTAAGCTGATGGTCTCCCAGAGTCTCTCCTGCACTGGAAGCTCTCAGATATAAAATCACAATGAAAGGAAATTTTAGAAAGCAAATACATTGAGAAGGCACCTGGAATCCATGAGACTTAGGAAGAATTATATGGCAGATCTCAACCGGATGTCTCCTCAAACTGTGTTGAGGTTTATACGGAGGTACATGATACTTGAACTGGCTGGAGAGTACAACACCGAGAGCAGTAGTAGTAATTAATAGCCACTTTTCTTGAGTGGGTGTCATGTGTGTTCAATGTTACACATGCCTGGCCTTCACATCTTCCCAGTAGCCCCGCGAAAAAAATCCTGTTTCCCCCATTTCACAGATAAGGAAGCTGAAGCTTGGGGTTAAGTGACCTACGTAGGGTCTATAGCTAAAAAGTGTTAGAGCTCGAGTTCACACCTAAGTCTTTCTGATTTCATAAATCATCCTCTCACTTTTATTAAAAACTAGAGGCCCGGTGCATAAATTCGTGCACAGGTGGGGTCCTTTGGCCTGGCTGGTGATTGGGGCCGATCGGAGCCCTCTCGCCCAGTCCCAATCAGGGCTGATTGGGGCTGGTGAGGGTAGGGACCACAGGAGGTTGGCCGGCTGTGGGAGGTTGGCTGTGGGAGCGCACTGACCACCAGGGGGCAGCTCCTGCATTGAGCGTCTGCTCCCTGGTGGTCAGGCTGTGTCATAGCGACTGGTTGTTTAGTCAACCAGTCATAATGGTCACTTAGGCTTTTATATATATAGGTAATTTCACATGACCAAGGTGAAACCAGCGTTTAAAATCTTTTCATTTCATCATATAATAGGTATGTCAAAGTTGCTATTCTAAATTTCCTATTCAAAGAAAGTCATCTTTTTTATACTTAGCTTAAAAAAAGAAATACTTCGACTCTAATGAGACCAAAGGAGGACAGCATCTCAGGGCACAGGCTTGGATGAGAGTAGCACCTGTGGCTGATAAAAGAAAAGGCGAAGGAGTGGTAGCCATGTCTTTTAGTGGAAACGTCTGGTAGAAGTTGTTCACTGAAAAACAGACACAAACCGAGCCCAAAGGAGGTGTTTTCTCTTTCTTCTGTCAACCTGACAGTTTCTATAATTGTGATTTATACTGAGTACTGCCAAGTGGCCATGTGCAAAGCTAAAAGACTGAGGAGAGAATTGTTACTGATGGTCAAACTCTAAAATAGTTTTGCCCAAAGCATGTTTGTGGAACTCTACTTCCATGAGATGATCCCTGGCCAGCCAGGATGTCTGACTGTCTCCTCCCCTGCGTGGACATCTGTAGTGCTGATGAGCATTCCAAAGGCTCTGAGATGTAGAACTCTGCTTAAATTGTAGCTCCCAAAGTAATGACGCACCCACCCATAGAGACACATTTTTTTCTGTTTTTACTTAATAACAGACACTTGGCTTTTCTGAAATAGAGTAACAAAATACAATTGTTACATGAAATGAACCGAATGAATTCAGAACACTAGTTGAGACCACCTTCGAGGGAGAGACTGTGAAGCAAAGGATCGCATTATGAGACCTTTCCCAGGGCAGTGTATGACCTTTGACACTCTTCCAGGTTTTCTGTTCGGATTCCGGGCATTGTGTGACTATCAGGGAGTCTCCACAGTGTTTTTCCAGCCTGCGCTGTGGGGGCGGGACTCCTGCCTCCCTCATCCAGGATGGGAAATAACCTTTCCACACGGAAACGGTGAGGAAGGCAAAGTGGAGGTAGCCAGGAACCGAAGGGCAGATGAAAGTTCCAGCTGCCTCTGCTGAATTGGTCCAGGGTTTTGCCTCACTTCCTCAGGGAAGTGAGGGTTCGCCCAGATTAAACTTTGGTAGGATGAGATAAAGCGTTGTTTTACTGTCCCTCATGTAACATGTTCCGATTAGAGCAAAATCCCGTTAGCCCACTTTACATGCCAAATGTAAAAGTAGGTCAACTCTGACCTACTTGTGAGCATTAGTGAGGAATTCCTAGATAAGCTTGTGTCCAGTACTATTTTCTCCCACGTCCTCGCCCTGGACAGATGTGGATGGAAGAATATGTAGGGCCTCACCAAGCCACTGAATTTCTGAACAATACAACATTAACAATAAAGAGCAAATCCAAATGAAAATGGTAAAGAAAGCAATCTTTTTGTATTAGATTTAATCAACACAATATATTTCAAGTTTATTTAGACTATTCTAAATAAATTCAATTTCAGCATTTTTTCTTTAAGCACTGACCATGTTCCTGAGCATTAAAAGAATTTATTATCCCATTCTGAGCACCTGCTGTGTGCCAAGAAAGGCTACAAAGATCTGTAGATTCAAATCTAGTTTTTAAAATATATAATTGTGTAACACAGAGGAGTTTTAAGGCAGTACAAATACTCTCTAGAACAGTGGTTCTTAACCTTCCTAATGCCGTGACCCTTTATTACGGTTCCAATTTCATTGTTACAAATGGAACATAATTAAAGCATAGTGATGAATCACAAAAACAATATGTAATTATATATGTGTTTTCCAATGGTCTTAGGCGACCCCTGTGAAAGGGTCATTCAACCCCCAAAGGGGTCGTGACCCACAGGTTGAGAACCACTGTTCTAGAGTATTATGTTATACTAGAGACCCAGTGCATGAAATTTCATGCAGGGGGGGGGGGGTATCCCTCAGCCTGGCCTGCACCCTTTGATAGTCTGGGAGCCCTCCAGGGATGTCTGACTGATGGCTTAGGCCTGTGCCCTGTGGGGAGCGGGCTTAAGTCCCAGTCAAACATCCTTAGTACTGCCCAGAGGCGGGAGAGGCTCCTGCCACCATCGCTGCGCTCGCCAGATGTGAGCCTAGCTTCTGGCTAAGTGAAGCTCCCCCTGTGGGAGCGCACTGACCACCAGGGGGCAGCTCCTGTGTTGAGCGTCTGCCCCCTGGTGGTCAGTGTGCATCATAGCAACGTTGTTCCACCGTTCAGTCAATTTGCATATTACCCTTTTATTATATAGGATGATGAACACCTGTCATTACACATTTGTCCAAACCCATAGAATGTACAACATCAAGAGTGAATTCTAATGTAAACTAGGGGCTTTGGGTGATAAGGATGCATCAATGTAGGTTCATCTATTAAACAAACGTACCACTCTGGTGGGAGAAGCTGATAATAGAGGATGTGGCCGGTGGTGGGTTGGGGGTGGTGGGGAGGAGAGGCAGGGAGTATATGGGAAATCTCCATGCCTTCCTCTCAACGTTAGCCTGGACCTAAAACTGCTCTAAAAAAATAAAGTCTCATTTTTTAAAAATTTTTATAATTGAGTTGTATAGACTATGGTTCTTGTATTTGAGTAACTTAAGGTCTTTACTCACAGGTAGTAATGTACACAGTTTAGCACGCTTACCTCCACAATTACAGTCCAAATGATCCATTCCTTTATTACTCACAGAATGTTCACTGCGCACCTTCTAGCACAGGCCCACATGCGGGAGGTTTCTGGGGGGTTCCCAAAGTTGTTCTCTGTTGGAAGCAGCCTGCTTGATAAATGAAATGCTTGGTAGCATGAACCTTTTAAATATAAAATTGCTCTTTTGCTCTGTTGACTTCTGGTGGGTTTTTTTTTTCCCTTTTGGTTGCTTGAATTTTAGATTTTATCAGGAGAGAACCTTTACAAAGATAGAACCTCTAGTTATCAGTCGGTGACTTCCATGTACATTGGCAGCCTTGAAAAATTCAGGGATATGTTGGTTTAAAATTGGATTTCAATAACTGACTATGGTTTGATGGTGTTTGAGTTAAAGGGGAGAGAGGGGAATGAAGTCAACTCTTTTGGCAGCTGAATGTAGATGAGACATGTATTTAACAGAAGTGTTGGTGTCTTCCCGGTGTGCACAGGTGGCAGGTGGCCAGCAGGAGTGAGTGCAGTGCCCAGTGTGGCCTGGGCTACCGCACGTTAGACATCTACTGTGCCAGATACAGCCGGCTGGACGGGAGGACCGAGAAGGTGGATGACAGTTTTTGCAGCAGTCACCCCAAACCAAGCAACCAGGAAAAATGCTCAGGAGAATGTAACACCGGGGGCTGGCACTACTCTGCTTGGACTGAAGTGAGTTGCTTCTCTCTGAAAGACAGTCTCTTCGAGTGCTAAGTCTGATCCATGGATGAGGATGAATCAGCTAATCCCTTCCTTAGGGCTGTGTTGAGAAACCCCGTGCAGCTGTATGGAAAGAGTACCATGATTGATTTATGATGCCTGACCCCATTCGAAATCTGCGAAAAAGAGTGCCATGTTTAATCTGTAATGTCTGACGTGGCCGTGGCATGTGGAAAACTGGGAATGGTCCACCTGCTCAACAAATCACTTTTTTCATACCCCGTGGACCATTTCTAATTTTATTTTTCTATTCTCATTTATAAACCAGTTAAGTAAATTGATAATGTGAACAGAGAGTCCCAAAATGACAACCAGATTGGTTGGTTGTGTCTTAAGGTCTGGCAGGGACAAGCCATCTCAGCCAGGATCTCGACAGTGCTTGGTAAGAAACTCGTGTTTTTTTTTTTCCGTTGTCTTTTCAGTGTTCTGAAAGCTGTGATGGCGGAATCCAGAGGAGAAGGGCTGTTTGTGTCAACACCCGAAATGATGTCCTGGATGACAGCAAATGCACACATCAGGAGAAAGTCACCGTTCAGAGGTGCAATGAGTTCCCTTGTCCACGGTGGAAGTCGGGAGACTGGTCCGAGGTGAGAGGGCAGGGCTGTCATTTTTCCCTGGGTCATCTCTGACATTCCAACTCCAAGCCCCTCCCTCCCCCTCCCCCGGGTGGTTCAGGGTTAAACCTGCTGTGCCTTTCCTACACCTTCCATTGAGGAAATGACCGGAGTCCCTCACTCACCCCAGGACTGCCATACTGGACAGGAGGGTCTACTGGTGGCTTCAGAGGCACTGCATCACCTGCCACAGCAGCTTTTGTTGGTGATTTTGACTTTCCAGTCCTGTCTCTCCTCTCCCTTCCTCTTTGAGCCCCAGCGAGGTCACTGCAAAGGGAATCCAGGCTTTAGGAATTATAAAGCCACACTGGCTTAGGCCTACAATAAATAATGAGGTGTCCTGCTTCCTCATCTATAAAGTAGGAGAATCAGACCCCAGCAAGTGGCCTCTCTCACATATCCGACCAGGTGCTAGTGGAAACGGGAAAGAGAAAGGGCTGCTGGGCATTCCGGGTTTATGCCTTTCGGTCCCTGACCTGGGAAGCATAGGGCGGTGCACAGTGGAGCCCCTTTCATGCTGTTAGGCCTGTCAGCGCTCACCACTAGCATAGCCCCTGGGACTCTCACCCAGCGGTGACTCCTTCCACCTTCCTTCTGGCCAGCAAATGGAAGGAAAACCGAAGTTCCCTTGTTTATGGACAAGTCAGGAATGTGGGGAAGAGGTGTTTCCTGTCAGCACCCTCTGCGTGCACTCCCTTACCTCATCCACACAAGCGCAGGGGAGCTGTTCACTTTTAGCATCAGATAGAATGTGAATCTTTAGAGGACACTATTAATGCCCCTTGAATGGCAGGCAAGCAATGGTGCATGTGCTTAACAGTGTCTTATTCCAGACAGTTACCAACAAGCCTTGTGTTTTCGCTGTTAACAAGTTGCCGTCTCTTAAACCCCTGTATTGTTCTTAAAAAGATGAAAGAAGGTACTGGGTTTATTTCTCTTAGATAGCTAGTATGAACTAAAGTAGCATTTCAAATTAAGTAACAAACTTATGCAAGAATGCTTGATAAAGTGCAAGCCAGGGTTCTCAAACTATATGATATATTCAGTATGATCCAGCATTCCATAGATAAACAGACTGGGAAACAGACAGCAACATGTTAATGATCCTCCCTGGGTAGTGAGATTTGGGGATCACTCTAGATTTCTCTGTTATACTTTTCTGTATGTTTCAAGCATTTTACAATGAGTATAGACAGTAGCAGTGATTATATTTAATACTAGAGGCCCGGTGCATGAAATTCGTGCACAGGGGG